ACGTAGCACTTTTAATTCTTTTTTCCATGTCTATTTAAGTGTTATTTATGACGCCATGTTTGCACTGAAGCACCGCAGCAATTTCCTGATGTTGTAAACCTGCTCAACATTTGGCAATAAACCCCCATTCTGATTCTGATTCTGATTCTAAGGACCCGATGATTTTCTATGATATATATATAAAGCCTTAAAAGTTCAGTTTAATTTATATAGTGCCAAATGACAACAATAGTTGTCTCAAGGTGATTTATATTGTAAGGTAAAGATGCTGGAATAATAGAAAGAAAATAGAGAAAACCCCAACAATCATATGACTCCCTTTGAGCAAATGCTTTGGCAACAGTGGGATGGAAAAACTCCCTTTTAACAGGAAGAAACCTCCAGTAACCCCAGGCTCAGGGAGGCTCAGAAAGAAGGTAAACAGCATGTGTGCACGCTGTTTGTTCCACAAGACCTATATTCTAGTGGGTGCACAGACTTACTGATGTCTTCAGACAGAGGTGGGAACTCGTAGATGTGTTCACAGGTGTTCTTGCTGCTGGGCATGCAGAAGCCAAACTCAAAGTCAAAACTCTTGAGCAACTTCTCTCTGAAATAGTGCCTCTCAATCATCCTGAAATTCTCTATCGGTCTGTCTCCGACTGTGAACTCAACACTGGAAGGAAAAACATACACAGACAAGGTTAATTCTTTCCTTTGTTAACCGTGTCCTTGTCAATAAAGATTCACACACATTCTCACTTACGTGGCTCCAACTTGCCGCAGTCGGAGAAACGCAGGGGTGAACTGGTAACGGACGAATCGGCCAGCATTTGGGTCAATATCCCTCTTCTCACTTCCTTTATCTGAAGTGAAGACCAGTTTGCATGGAGCAGATTAAAGTACAAGATAAACCTTCGTAGATGGAAGCCTAATAGAAATGGCAGATTTATATTGTGCTGGATGGCACCAAGTAGGAAAAATGTATTTATCTGGTGAAGAAAAAGGACAGATTTGCTTTCGTAACGCATCTTATAATTTTTGTTGTCTTCCTTCAATTTGAGCCCTACTTTTGTAGCTTAGTTCCTCTAAAAGGATGGGCTGTGGTTGACTCTGTTTTTAGAGGTAAATAGACCAAATCACTACTCAAACTACAGAAAGTACAAAACACATTATCAACCCATCCTGCAA